TATTTATTTATTTTTGAAACAGGGTTCTGTTGTGTAGTTTAGGCTGGCCTTGAACTCACTGTGTAGCCCAGGCTGGCCTCAAGATCTTTCTGACTTGGCCTTACAGTGCTAAGGTTATAGGGGTGCCCCACCATGCCCAGCCAGCAACTTTATATTTTTTACTTTTTTGCAGCACCAGGGATTGAACTTAGGACCTTGTGCTTTCCAGGCAAGAACTTATTCTACTAAGCTATCTCCCAGGGTCCCAGCTTTATTTTTAATAGCCCAAACTAGAAACAGTTCAAGTGACATCACTGTGAGAGTGAAGTGTAGAGTACAGTAAAATATTTCAGAGCAGTTAAAACAAATGAACTACTACATATGCAGTAAGATGAAAAATTTCACTGGAACTGATTTAAAAAAAAACAAAACAGGACACTTGAGTATATGATTTCATTTATATGAAATTATAGAGTAAATTTGTAGTAATAGAAATTAGATTAATGTCTGCCTGTGACAAGTGTGGAGGTAACTGCAGAGAGGCATAAGGGAGCTTTCTGGAGAGGTATAATGTTCTGTATTGAAATTGAATTCAATTTGGTTTATGTGGGATTTAGCTGAAACTTAGTATGGAGAATTCTTTTGGGGTTCTTGAAGTTCTTTCTATGGTATTTTAGCCTATTTTATTGAAAGTGAAATTTGAAGGTAATACTTAGTATTAATAGTTCTATTATTATTGGTTACAGTGGTAGATCATTTAAGTACTTGATATTATTTAGAGTAACAAAGTTTCTCCTGTTTTTTCTCTAGCCCATTTTTTAGTGAAGAATTTTATTTTGAAATTCCAAGGAGTTTCCAGTATTTGTCTTTCTATGTTTATGATAAGAATGTTTTACAAAGAGACCTTCGTATAGGTAAGTACTAGTAATTATTTTGGTACTAGTCATAATTCTCTCTAATTAAAACATTCTTTAAAGTGTTGAAAACTGTAGAATAGTGTATACACAGCACTTCTAGTACTTTTTTTCTCATCCTTTTCTTACCAGTGAACTTTGTGTTCATTTGTAAATTTGATTTTTGTTTTATTATGTTTGGCTTATGTGACACTTCCTCAGGGAGGCCCTTGCTGGCCCCCTAGTTGCATAGGTTTCCACGTTGCTTGATGGTTCCTTTTCCTTGGTACTCATTATGTTCCTTTCTTAGTTCATCACTTGCTATCTAGATTCTGTAGGTACATGTTATGCTACTCATCTTGTCTGGTATCAGGACAAAATACTCAAAATGACAACTTAAAGGGTCAGAGATTTACTTGGCTCATGGTTTCAGGGATTTTGGTCTATGGTTGACTGACTCCAAGGCAGAAATATCGTGGAGGAAGGGCTTGGCAGAGCAGAACTGCTCACTTTGTGGTGATTACGAAGCAGAAAGCACCAGCCAGGGTGAGAGATGCCTTCCAAAGGCGTGCCCCTGGGATTCACCTCCTCTTACTAGGCCCCACCTCCTAACAGCAGGAGGCTCTGAGTTTGATTCCCATACCAAAAATAAAAAATTATTTCTCTTTTTTTTAATTATAAAACTATTAACATGTTCATAATAGCTCATAGTGACTGCCTAAGAATAACTGCAGCTAATCATTTGGGATATTTCTTTCATACATTCATATTACATTTATGTTACTATGTTAGTATTCAGCTTTTTTCTTTTACTTAATATCGTATATTCCGTGTGTATCACTAATACTTTACAAAAATATATGTTGTATAAACTCCTTTATATTAAAATGTGTTATTGGTAAGTGTTTATGTTTCCAAGTTTTGGGTCTTAAATATCCTGCTATGAGTAAATATCCAGTGTTGTTTTTTCTATGGGTGTCATTAACTGAGATAGTTAATATGAGGATCATTCACTTTTATGGGAAGTGAAAAGAGTAGGAGAGACTTTGGCTACAAGCAAGTTAAAATTGTATTACTGGGGAATGTCGTAATAGATGTGTTAGTTGATAGCTACAAATACAGATCTGAAGTTTAGACAACAGAAGAGCTGGAGATATAGATTTAAAAGTCATCATTATTAAGTGATACCTGCATTTACTAATGAGTTATCTGGGAAGCTGACCAGTGCTGGATAATCTGGCTTTGGTGCTTTTAGCTAGTTCTTACTCTCCACATGGTTTCTGGGTTCTGAAAAGACAAGTGCACAAGTATTTATTAAGTGTGTATTTCCATTACATTTGCTAATGTCTCATTGGCAATTAAAGTAAGTCACATAGCCAGTGTCTGTGCAGGGGACTATCTCTGAGATAACAGGAGGCATCATTTATTGGAGGCTATTGCTATACCAGTCTGTCACAGATACCAAAAGGCATCTCCCTAAATCCTGTACACTTAAGGCTTCTAAGGATGGCCACTGGCTCTGAGTCGCCATTGTTAACTATATGCTGATTCAGTCCTCTGGTCCACTTTATCTTGAATAGGCATTCCTACTTGTCATTATTTTCATGTATTCGGGGTTTTTTTTTGTTGTTTTTTGTTTTGTTTTGTTTTTTGACAGAACCAAGGATTGAACTCAGGCCCTTGCGCTTACCAGGGAAGCACTTATTCCACTGAGCCATCTCCCTGGCCCCTTCATGTATTCTTTTAGTTGTTACTAGTGTCCAAGCAGAAACGAGAAAAAGATTGGAATTTCCAAGAATATGTTGTATCTAAATACAGGACTCAGTAACACAGTATTTACTAATGGCAAGAAAGTGCTGCTTAAAGGTTGTATTAAAGGGCAACCTGCTTGAGTCTCCTTCTGTCCCTCTCTCAGACAGAAGTTTTCTTTCTCTCAGTAAATATATTCTGCTCTTGGAGAGAGCTTTTTTACTAAGATGGCGCCAAAGGCAAAGAAGGAAGCCCCTGTCCCTCTCAAAGCTGAAGCCAAAGCAAAAGTGTTGAAGGCCAAAAAGGCCATGCTGAAAGGCATTCACAGCCACAAAAAGAATATATGAAGGTCACCCACCTTCTGCCATCCCAAGACACTGCGCCCTGGAGGCAGCCCAAATACCCTCAGAAAAGCGCTCCCAGGAGCAACAAGCTTGACCACTATGCCATCATCATGTTCCCCTGACCACAGAGTCGGCCATGAAAAAAATCAAGGACAACAACAAACCCGTGTTCATTGTGAATGTCAAAGCCAGTAAGCACCAAATTAAAGAAGCTGTATATTGATGTTGCCAAGGTCAATACCCCAATCAGGCCTGATGGAGAGAAGAAGGCTTATGTTCGACTGGCTCCTCATTATGATGCATTGGATGTTGCCAACAAAATTGGGATCATCTAAACTGAGTCCAGCTGGCTAATTCTAAATACATACTCCCCCCCATAAAAATAAATAAACAAGCAAATAAATAAATATATTCTGCTCATAACCTCCAAAAAGAATGAAAACTTGACATACAATAAAAATGATACTCGGAGGGAAGATCATAGCTATAAATGCCTACTTTAAGAAAGAAAAGCCAAGTGTGGTGGCATGTGCATGTAATCCCAGCATTTGGGAGGTTACAACAGGACAGTCGCTGAGAGTTGGAGGCCAGCTTGGGCCGTGTGGTAAAACCATGCCTCTAAACGACAAAAAACAAACAAGCCTGGTGTGGTGGTGCATGCTTGTTATCCCAGCATTTGGGAAGCGGAGGCAAGAGAATTTTTTGAAGAGTGAGGCCAGCCTACAGTTTGGACTACATAGTGAGACATTGTCTCTCAGAATCTGAAGAACAAAAATCAAAAAAAGGAAGAGAGGCTAGGTGGCCAGGTTTGGTAGCACACACCTGTAATCCCTGCTTATTAGAAGGCTGAAGCAGAAAAATGACAAATTCAGGGTTAACTTAGGCAGTTGAGTGAGAATTTATTTTCAAACAAAAAGAAATGAAAAAGTTGTTCTAGAAAGCAAAGAATACTTTTTTACTTAGAGAAAAACAAAGGTGTTTTCTTTGTTTACATAGTTCCTAGATTCTTGTGTTTTCTTCTCCTTGTCTGATTTTTAAGGAACTAATGCAGTATGTGGATGTGTGCATGTGTGGGTGGCTGTGTATGTTTGCTTTTTAACATACACAGTTTCTGCCACTTATTAGGACAGTGGAGAAATGAAACATTACCTTTAAATGATTTTTTTAAAAATTTTATTTATTTATTTATTTATTTATTTATTTGTGTGTGTGGCCTGCTCAGCCCACCAGGGGGCGGGGCTGGCTGGCATGTGGTGCTGGGGGATTGAACCGTGGTCCCTGTGCTTTGCTAAGCCTGTTCCAAGTAGGTGCTTTAGACCACTGAGTCATCTCACCAGCCCCTTTAAATGATTTATTGACAAATTTGCCATGGGTAAATTTTTTTCTTTTTTTTAGTTGGTGATTGTATGGCTAATGAAATGTTTTAAAATGAACACTAACTGAAACAATCTTAAGAACAGAGGTGCAGAATAGTGTTTAAGATCAGTAATTCATCCACAGTGATGTAGCTAATAAGTAACAAAATTATCACTAATTTGCAATATTAGTGTCTGTTTTGGAAGGAACATGAACAGGCAGATTGGTTTCAAAATCTTTCTTTAGCATTTATTAATGTGCACACTTTTAAATGTTCATATTCACATTTGTAAGTCGATGCAACGCTCTACCTCTTAAGACTGTTAGGAAGATTAACAAAATGAAAGGCTGGGGCTGGGGATATAGCATGGCGGCATAAATGCCTGCCTAGCAAGCACAAGGTCCTGAGTTTGATCCCTGGTACTGCAAAAAACAAACAAAAAAACCGGCTGTGTCTCCTACTTGATAGATGTTCAATAAGTGCTGGATTTTCTGTCTTTTCAGTGTTCTTTGTATTATATTGGGCTGCCTACCTTTTCCAGTTAATGCCTGCCAGTTTAACTAATGATATCTCAGAACAAAAAAATCAGAATCATGAGGGTTTTTTCCTTTGTTTTTGTTTTTTTTTTGTTTTTTTGTTTTTAATATATTTGGTACAAGGTCTCATTACACAGCTCAGACTCATAGTGATCCCCGTTTTCAGCCTCCCCAGCACTGGGATTACAGGTGTGTGCCACCACACCCTGTCTTGGTGGCTGGCTTAGCGATGTCTTGGTGTCTGGCTTAGTGAGCCCAGGGTTCTAGGGGGCTGGCATAGCATGTGGTACCGGGGATCAAATCGCAGTCCCTGTGCTTGTCTAGGCAGGTCCTTAGTCCACTGAGCTATCTTGCCAGCCCTAAAATTTATTTTTATCTTAGGTAGAGTCAATGTTAATTGGAACTATGAACATCATTATTATTTATAATAAATACTCTGTCATGATTTTGTATCCTGTGTCATTCCTAGTATTATATTGAGAATTACTAGAAATTTTGCACAGTTTGTAGGTAAAACATATTAAAACATTTACATGATTTGGGAATTAACCTAATTTGTTTCAACAATATAAGGACTATTGGGTGTTCAGTCAGTGCTTAAATTCTATTCTTTTTTTCTTTTTTTTTTTTAACCTTTTATTTATTTAGTATAGGGTCTCACTACACAGCTCAGACTTGTAGTGATCCTCCCTTCTCAGCTTCCCATGCCTGGTTTCTGTGGACAGGGCCAGTACTGGTACAACATGTGGTAGCAGGGATCGAACCTACATCCTTTCAATCACCAGGCAGGTGCTTAGACCTCCGAGCTATCTCCCCAGCCTCCTTAAATTCTATTTTTAATGTGTATTTTCAGTAGTGGGGGATTTTTCCCTTTTTATCTTAAATTTCACCAAAAAAAAAAAAATTAAAGCATATTTTTCTAGCACCATTTCCTATAAGATTTGAATGAATGATAAATGCTATATATAAATTGCTGGGGCTGGGGAGATGGCTCAGTGGAATAAGCACTTCCCTGGCAAGCACAAGGGCCTGAGTTCAATCCCCGGTTCTGGGGGGAAAAAACGAAATAAATAAAATAAATAAATAAATAAATTGCTGTATGTTCATGTGAAGATTTTGATCTTCACATTAGATTGCATCCAGAACATACATATATGATATATAATGCATTTTTTGTATTTTTTAGGGAAAGGTCTACAGGGTGTTCAGGGTCTCACTACTAGATCAGACTCATAGTGATCCACCTGTTTACAGCCTCCCAAGAGCTGGGATTACAGACACACGCCACCACACCTAGTCTCAATTGCTGTCTCAGCGTGCCCCAGAAGTGGGACCAGCACGGCATTGAACCCCCGGCCCCCTGCACCTGCTTGCAGGAGCTTTAAATTTTTTAAAGCTGGAAAGATTCATATTTTTATGCAGGATAGTTTATTAATTGAAACTGTTCATGTTTTAAACTTCATGTGTTAATACATATACATGAATTTTCAGTAGATCTACTTCAGGTTGTAGTATTAACTTAGTTTCCACTCTATAATAAAATTCTAGTGTATTATAATGTTTTTCTTTTTTTTTAATTTTTTTTTT